AATAGTGCTGTTATGAATATTGGTGTCCAGGTATTTGCGTTCTTTCAGTTTCTTCGAGTATATACCTAGGAGTAGTATTGCTAGGTCATATGGTGGTACTATGACTGAAGAATCCCCAGACTCTGTTTTCCATAGTTGCTGTAGCATTTTACCTTTCCCCTGTCCGTGCACGAGAGTTCCAACTTCTCTACATCCTTGTCAACACTTGTTATTTTCTGTTTTTTTTTTTCCTTCTTTTAATAATAGCCATCCTAATGGGCATGAAAGGTCATAGATCATTGTGATTTTAATTCGTGCTTCCCTAAAGACTAAGGTTGTTGACCATCTTCTCATGTGTCTGTTGGGCATTTGTGTATCTTCTTTGGGAAAATGACTTCCAAGTCCTTTGCTCATTTTTTAATTGAGTTGTGTTTTTTGTTGTTACAGTGTAGAAGTTGTATGTTCTGGATACTAGAGCCTTATTGGATAAGTGATGTACAAGTATTTTTTTCTCATTCTTTCGGTTGTCTTTTCACTCTTTTGTACTTTGATGCACAATTTTTTATTTTGATGAAGTCCAATTAATTTTTTCTTTTGTTACTTATGCTTTTGGTGTCATATCTAAGAATTCTTTTTTTTTTAAAAGAATTATTTTATTTAACTTTCTTTATTTACTTAGTTTTTAATTTGACCAGAGAGAGAGGGAAAATGAGAAAGCAAGCTGCCAGGTCTGAGACTCTAACTGTGGTTGGCCGTGGGAGTCCAGTACCCCTAACCACCATGCCACCTGCCGGCCCCAAATAATTCTTTGCCAAATTCAGTATCATGAAAATTTCTTTTTTAAAAAGTGTGTTGTAGTTTTAGCTCTTAAATGTGTCTTTGACTCGTTTTGAGTTAATTTTTGTATATGGTATAATGTAAAAGTCCAACTTTGTTCTTTTGTGTGTGGATATTCAGTTTTCTCAGCACCATTTGTTGAAAAGACAGTTCATTCCTTATTGAGTGGTCTTAGCACCATTGTTCAAAAATCAATCGACTATATATGTCAGTATTTGTTTCTGGACTCTGTTCTATTGGTTTATATGTCTGTTCTTATGCCAGAACCACACTATTGTAGTTACTATAGAATTGTGGTAAGTTTTGAAAACAGAAATTGAGTCCTCTTTTTTTCAAAATTGTTGAAATTAATTTTAATAACCTGTTTAACCCATTATTTGAGCATGTAATCAAACATTGGGACCTTTCACAATCTTTTGTTTTTGTTTTAGAACTTTTTATCTTAGGGCCCATATAAGCTGGGAAGTGTGTGTGAGAGGGAAAGTGAGAAATCACCTTAATGGCCACACCACAATCCCTTATTCTCCATTCTCTTCCTGAGATCTTGGGCACACACTCACCATCCCCTGCGTGATTTTTCAAGCCACTGAATCTGGGACTTGAACCAGGTTGGCTATGTGGAAGTCTGGAGACATAACCACTATGCCATCTGCTGACCCCACAGCCTTATTTTCATACTAAGTCTTTCAAGTTGTATGTATATTTAACTTTATAGTCTCTTTAGTTCAAACAAGGTTCAGTTCACACTATTCAAATCTTCACCACATGTGGCTCATGGCCATCATATTGAATAGCTCAGTTTTAGCAGAAATTTGCATTGTGGCACAGATCTCCGAAAACCCAAAGGGCTTTTGTCTTTTTTGTTTGTTTGTTTGTTTGTTTGGATTTTTTTTTGAGAAATTTATTTCCCTATAGGGCGTGTGAGCTCGCCAGAAAGACAGAGAGAGACAGAGAGATAGAAAGCGAGAAATCAACCCCCAGGGGGGATGGCCACGCCACAATTCCTTCTCCTCCATTCTCCTCTCGGGATCTTGGGTGCGCATGGACATGCACCCGGCGTGAGTTTACGCCACCGGATCCAGGATTCGAACCATGGTTGACTACATGGGAGTTCAGTGACATAGCCATTACACTGACTGCTGGTCCCCAAACCCATAGGGCTTTTAATTCAGGTAGGCCTGACCCCGAAGTAAATTTGCCCTTTTATTGTTAAGGTGGGCAAGAAGGAAGCTGCTGGTGGGTGCTGTAGTGGTGGCGGTGGGGGAGCAATTCAGTCATACCAAGGGAGGAGGAGAGTGATGAGAAGGGTATGTTGGGGAGGTGACAGTTGAGCTCAATCTCAGAGAGAGAGAAGGAGCTTCACCAAGCAAAGAATGACGTTCGCCAAGCAAAGGGAAAGATCATTTTGGCTGAGTGTGCAGCATGGGCAGAGCCCAGGATTTGGAAAGAGCCCAGTGCGTTGGAGAACCACA